ATAAATGTTGAAAGTAGATTTAATTTACGTAAAATTAGGAACGTTGTATGATCTGTGGAGGCGTTATTGCGTTTCGGATGCAATTGAATTTAGGAAGGAACCAGCTGTGTGACATTTGCTGGACTTCTAATCAGTTCGTAGAATAGAACTTGACCATAGCTTATGTTGGATTCATGAATTTTGCTTTTCATCTCGGCTACTTCTTCCTCAGGGGCTATAATCCGATTTGTCGTTCCAGGCAGGAAAGTGGTAGTAAAGTTGGAGTGGTTTCCAGCTACATCCGAGTTTTCTGAGTTTGGATGATGGACCTCTCCTTCTTACAGTAATAACAGATGGATTTATAATAGTGGTATCAGTGGGTTTTCTAGCCTTTTCTGGTTTTACCTTCACGATAAGTACCGAGCTTCTAGTGTTCGCATTGCTAACAAGCATTTCTAGTGCGTAATCGGGAAAAAGTTGAGGTGTTGAGCGTACGGCTAATAAATGTTAAGTTTGAATAGGAATACAACCACGGGGGGATGAGGACAAATATGATACCATTTTTGTACTATAAGCGATGCAAACCAACCGATTCATGTCTTCCACGCGAATTGGCCAGGACTCGCTCCATACAGCAATATTGAACGAATAGATTCGCTGTAAAACGACCCTTTAGAGCGAATGAGACGTTGCGATGACGCCACAAGGGCCTCCGATTGGCAAATGCTGATCGGGCTTTAGCGATATGAAGAGAAACTTCCTTGCTGATAGTGTTTGCAGCAGAAACCTAGCTCACAAAGTTGTGCACCTTCAAGAGTGAGCACGAGAGCAGTGGAACTTTCCACTGGAAGAGACTTTAGATATCATTGACGTTCATGCTGGCAACGTAGGATTTCCAGCTCAGCATCTTAAGTCTGATTGTGCAACTAAGACATTCAGTTTCAATTCGGTGGAACAATCTTTCGTCAGCTCTATGGCGCGGCCATGGGCAGCCCATTTGGTCCATTCCTGGCTGATATTTTCATGAGCCACTTGGAGAACACCTCACTACGTTATGCGATACTAAGTGTGCGTTTGTACTGTAGCTACAGTAACGACACGTTTGCTATGGTTGGTACTGCTCGGTAGGCAACGCACTTACTCGATGTTCTAAATGTGTTTCACCGTGCAGTCAAATTCAAGATGGAAAGTGCATTGGATAACTCGTTCCGTTTTTGTATGTAAAGCTCGAGAGGAATTCAGGCGGTACGCTCACTCGATCCGTGTATCGCAAGCCAAGAAAAATGTGTTTACTACACTACCGTTTAACGGGGATCAAAATGATAGCAGAATCCGTCATTGTCTTCGACAGATGATATAAAAGTGTTATTATGGGGCCGAACTTGTGCTATTGCACCAAGTAAGGAGGCTGCTATATAAATCCAACCTTGACAAGCCAGGCCCTTTAGGTACCGACTCATGTGTTTAACTCTCTTATTGTACTTGTGATAGCAAGTACGTGGGCCGAACTGAGAGGAAACTGTCCTCCAGAATTTCAGAGCACATTCCACGTAATATGGTCGCGAACGTCCTAATCTGCCGGCAAGCTCCATTGTCCAACATATCCTTGACGGCTCCGTATGTCAAAATCCCCGCGAATCGCTCAGCAGTTATGCTGATTCTAAGGGCAGTGACCCCATCAAGGTAGACAACTACAGACCGATATGTTTGACACCTATTTTGGCCATGCTTACCAAAATGATCATAAATAAGGTTTTACTGCAGCAGTTCCATTCAGAATATCTACTGACGCCCGCACAACACGGTTTTATGTGAGGTCGCCCATAAGTTCCCAATTTGCAGGTGATGAGCAATGATTGGTTACAGGCAGTGAACCAGGAGAAATCTGTCAAAGTAAAATACATCGACCAAAGTAAGGCGGTTGGCCAGATAAACCATGGGGTCCTCCTCTACAACTTGTGAGCTGGCAGTTCTGGTATACCACTTCTTCACTGGATCCAGCAATTACTCCTTGAACGAAATTGGAGAGTACAGATCGACGGCCACTTAACTGACTGGTATCACTCTATACTTGGCGTATCCCAAGACACGTTGCTGTTCCTAATCCACATCAACTTCTTCGGTGGCCATGTCCTTTGTTTGAACACTGATTTTATACGGGTTAAGACGCAGTGCGTTACAAGCGCCGTTGGGTGGTCTGCTGGGTTAGCGAAGAACGTTCATCAAAAAAGCAGTTAGAAGTTTTAATGTCACAATAATGGACTTATCGTTTTTGATTCAGTAGCCCTGCACCCCGAGCGTTTCCATGACTTCAGTGGGCGAGAACAAGTAAATCTAAGGTATTTTCCGGGAGTAGGGTGGAGCGTAACGTCAAGGAACAAAATGTAACTGGTGGAGTGCGTCATCTAACCGACCTTTAAATATGGCTAGTGTTCGTGCTAAAATAACAGATTGGGGGAGAGCATTCCATGGTTGGAGACACATGAATGGAAAAGAAGTTTCTACGGCACGCCAGGCAGCTGAATTGTTCTGTCAATTTCAAGGAGTGGCGTCTAAGTTTGGTGTTACTGCTGTGTTGCAGTAAAGAGCGTCACACATGATTTGGATTGTGTAAACTCGGATACATCATAATCAAGTCGGCATACCGCCCACTGAATACTCCCAAACGTTACAGCCTCCGCTCGTACGGAAGGTGGCGCATTCCACTGACGTATTTAGAAGCCCGACTTTGATGGTGATCCAGTGCAGTAAGGTGTGCTTCAGCCATGGCTGCCAGACTTCAATTGCGTATTCGTCATGCGGACGAACATTCGCATTCAGCAGCTGTCTGAAACTAGTGGTTTCTAGTTGTCCGAACGCAAGTCGTAACAAACCGACGTGCTGGTTTCGAGGCGTTTGCGGATTGCTTCGAACAACACAAGTTATCCTGAACAAGATAGCGTCCGACGGATGACCGCTGCAGTATTTGCGTTCCTAGGTTGTAGGAATAGGTACTCTGATGTTGCATGGAGAGTACCTTGCATTTGTCCACGTTGAACTGTAACAGCTTTCGCGTTTACCAGTCATGTACCGTATCTAAGTCACACTAAAGTAAATTCTGAATCCGATGCCATATCTTGATATCGTCAGTAAACAGCAGGGAATTTGGAGCGATATTCCGATCAAGGTCATTGATGAATACCCAAAACAACCGTGGACCTAGAACTGAGCCCAGGGGTACACCAGACTCGATTGGCATTGGTTCAGCTAGGAAACTCCGGACTCCCCACTAATTGTCGTTGTAGGAGAAAGTTGGCGATTCAGCTCAAAAGTGGGTCACCCATCCCGTGATATTAGAGCTTGAAATCAGAACCCGATGATCTTAATGATCGAACGCCTTCGACGAATCCAAGTAGATCACATCAACTGCCTCTGCAGTGTCAGCTGACTCGGTCCAGCTACTCGCACGATTGATAAATTTGTCGTGTATGATCACTGTCGACGAAAGCCGTGTTGCTCGGTAGCAATAACGTTACAATTTTCTAGCTAACATACTAGCGCATCGGTTAACATAGATTGCATGTCCTTGGATAACACAGGGAGAAGGGACGCTGGGCGGTGGTTTAAGGCTCATTCCTGCTTCTGCCTTTGTGACTCGCAGTCATTATTCCAAGTTTCCACATCGCACGAATCTGGTTCTGGTCGAAACAGCGTTGGAAGTACTATGCCAAAGGTCTTGTCAGTTGTTTTGCTGTTGCTCCCCGTGCCTCTGGGCGAATGGTGTCGACTCTCGGGGAGCTGTGGTTGCGCAGAGATGTCAGCTTCGGCGTAAAAGTGATGTGGCTGAGTCGTAGACGCGGGAGAAAAGGTTGGAGGGTGGCCTGATGGAAAGACCATCTGAAATGTGGGAGCATATTGCGTCCGCAACGCGTTTTCTGCTTCTATGTCTTTTCTAGTTGGATCATCAGTCGTCCGGTGAGGAGGAATTTCCTTCCTCCCGACGTCCATTGACATACTTGTAAAGCAGTTTGTGCTTAACACTGAAAGTTTTCGCCATATTCTGCTGATATACGACTGGTCATCTCTGAGCAGCTGAATGCAGTGGGTTACGATGGACTACGTAGTTGTCCCGATCAGCTGGCGTTGGTGAAGATGCTCACTATGACCGTAAACGTGATTGGCCCTACACACACACGTAGATAAGCACGCACACACGCACTCAAGGACACACCCTAACTTTCCGTGTACACATGTAAACCGTTAAGTGTTCAGTATACTACGTGCCAGACTGACGCGTCATCTTGCTTATTCACTACTAGTTGAAATACGTACTTGCGGTTAGAGTCCAGCTGTGATAGTTACCACAGGTTGAAGCAAGTGAGCAATTTGGAGGTCATTGGGATGCTACCGTAGTTAGTGCAGAATTTCAACGATGGTGGGAGGTCGCCAGGTAAATAAAACGTGTTATCCTTCCGTAAGTGACTGACAGGTAAAAGTAGCACACGTTTGAAAAAAACGCACCATGCGCAATGATATTCCTTGGTTTAAAGAACTAACCGGATAACACCATTTAAATCTCGCAGATGCACATTGACGGAGGCAAGTTACATGGACAAAAATGGTCAACAAACAGAAAACACTTGAAATCAAAAGACCGAAGCAACCAACTCCCAATACAATGGTCCTCGCTGTGGTCTTGTAAACAAGCAGCCAACGACTAAGTGGAATCCTATCGTGCTGCCAGGGAAGTCACAAAATATTACGAGCTGTTGTGATCCGTTAAATAACTTCAACAATACACGTCCGTTGCTGCTTGTACAGTTGTCTTCAGTGCTCAACATCAGGAGTCACAGCCAATCGATTGGTCGGTGCCTCGTAACAGCGCTTGAACTTTGGAAGTTCGAACAGCACAAATAAAAGGATTGAACCACTCCACTGAGATTGCTCCTGGATGACTGCATGATTCTTGGTTGGTAAGCAGTAGAGTTATGAAATCCAGATAATTAGGGTCGGTGAATTTGCCAACTGCAGGATTGCAACGTTTACATCTTGGTATTCTACGACGGAATATAGCATGATGGCGGTTATGATAACATTTCACAACCAGTAAAAATGTGACCAAGGATTCAAGAGGACTGAACATGAGGCAAATTTCAAGTTACTCATAAGCAGTTTGTCGCAATTAGATTTTAAGGCAGATCTGTAAACCGCCAATCCGGTAATGCACTAGGCGACCGTTTCGCACTACTGAGTTTCGTCAGTGGTGCGCATTCTCTCCGTCTCTTTTTGGAAACCGAACCCATAACTACTTGTGACTTGCACCACTAGCTAGCAGCTTAGGCTAATGAACAATGGGAGGACTATAGCTGACCATCATGGACTGAAATCTAATTGAAATAGAGCACGACCCATTCTCCACTGATATGCAGGTTACTGCCTGTGCAGAAGCCAGTGGTTGGCGCTCAGATGTCAGGAGTTCTCCTGCTAATAGCCTTGAGTACACACAGCCGTTTGAAGACTGGTAGGGCTATTTAATATAAATTATTTAAGTGTCCACGCATGTTGCGTGAACATCTTATAGAACAAGAATATCGATGCGATGCTGTCTTACCACTAGATGCGTAATGAAAACGCAATCTCGTGGAGAACGAGCATACTCTTATCCTTTTCGAGGATGCCGGACATGAGTGGAGATCGACAATTTTGTTAGCATTGCTGACGAGCTGGAAGACTTGTGATGTATTCGTCAGCATTGATCAGCATAAGCGGAATACTGCAACCTCCGGGAGATACAGAATTGGGAAGGAAAGTGATAGCAAAGACGAAGGCTGTAAGAGATTAAGGATGGGTAGTTGGACTTCAATTTCGGTGTTCAGCTTTTGGATAACGTCGGGTCTGGCAAATGAAAACATCCTATAATTTAAGTTAGAGAAACTTAGTGCAACTATGAATACAGACCCAAAATGTTTGGTTAAGCGATAAGTTGGGACAGCATCCAAAAATGATAATTGGGCAAATAGCCGATGGGCACTTCTATGTAACAAACAGCTGACAGAAATTGAAAAAGCAGTGAGAGAACTTGACAAGTACTTCTTAATCTGGTTCTTCAATTCTAGGCTTATTTAAGTGGGGAAGAATGTGACGTGTTGCGTTACAAGTGCCGATTTCGATATGCAAATTGCGAAATGAATGCCCAGTAACACTACCTACAAGTTACATGATCATTAGGCTGTGTCTGGTACGGTACAAAAATTGCCGAACTACTGATGTATGTAAATAGGAAGAAACATCCCCGGAGGTGTACGATTGACTGTGATGAACTATGTCAAAAAGTGTAGAGGAGCAGTGTTTGCAAAAAGGTAATTTCAGGCCGCTGTATAAGTCGCCGTTTTATACATACGTTCATACGTTAGTATATCCAACTGGCAAAATAAACTGAAGGTAAATAGAGATCAAGGCTTAAATGACCAACAGGCACCTACACGGCCAGCGAAAGTAGAATTTCGAAAGAGAGAAGATGTAACAATCCAAATAAAAGAACTAGTAACAGAGTGCAGCATCAAGTGTGTCTCTAAATGCGACAAAATAGCGTAGCAACAACTGTGTTCGAGCATAGCTCTCCACAACCCTACATGATAACTTATGTCGGTCTGCAGAAGTACCTACTCGGAAGAAAGATAAGTGTGAAATGTTGCTAAACAAGTCGTTCCTATCAAACAGCCGTGCATATTTAAACATTAATTAGATGCAGAGTCAGATCGGAACATGCAGAGTACGATCAGTTTCTCCCGTGCATTATTCCATTGAAGCAAAAACATGATAGGTCGTCCCGAGTAGTCGCAGGGCAGAAGCTCGCACTCGACAGTCATGTTGCTACAATGGAGCGCCTAAGAACGCAGGAGAGATCACATAAGAAATGAATGAAGAATCAGCCACGCACTCATTCGGGTGGGGCGAATATGCGGCTGAGACAATGTTCACACCAAAGTAGAACACACTCACACTCCAAAATGAATTGGAGCATATTTATTGTCAGCATAGACAATTCATGAATCCGAGAGCGAAATTAACCGTTTCGTAGTAGCAGAATGCCAGCAAGCGCGAGCACATAGAAGTGTCCTATGGGATTTATTGAATAGGACGACCGTCATTCCAGTCGCCACGAATGCGAGAGAGCACGGAGCAAATCGGTACAGTGCTGAGTAGGCTGTCCTAATTACGCCTCTGGGCTAAAACGTTACATGTAGAATGCATATGGAACAAGCATGTTAACGGAAACATTAACGCCGAAGGCACTGGAGTGAGAGCGTTAAGAGTTGACAAGAGAAAAGAAGGTATGTATTAACTTGACGATCACGTAAGACAGTCGCAGGATTTTCAAGCAATGTTTCACATACAAGGAAAAACAAGTCCGTAGCCGGATAACCCCATAGAACAGCCAGGTAACCCCATAGAACAGCCGTAAAACCACTCTAAGTGTTCTGAACGTCGTGCACGAAACTCGTAGACGAGTTTTATTATCACCGGATAAAAAAACGATAAATTACCTGATAAATTTCCGTACCCAAGGTGAAGTTGGCAAATTCTATCATAATTTCACTGTGTATCTTTTCGATCGAATTTTTCCAGTCAATGTTGAAGCCTTTTATGATTCGGATAGCGCGAGCTGAAGCGATAAAAGAGGAGATCACAGAGGATGAATAAGAGAGACAGGGATCAAAAACGTTCAAAGAGAAATACGGGTAGGATTCAACGGCATCTGCGATAATGGTACGGTTGCGGATTTCACGCAGAGCGTGCCAAGCACAAACATGCTAAAGTAGAAGGTCCAATGTATTGGTTTGATAACCACATCAGGTCACAGTCGTCAGAGGAACATGTATGGTAATAAGCGTTGACAAAAACCGGACCATAAGATAGATGAGTGTCGGTTGTTAGACCGAGTTCGACCGTAACCTGCTCGCTGGATTGAAGCTACTTGAGGATGACTGCAACGCATCGTCGCGCATATCATTGCATATGGAGAATTGTTGCAGCCTTTAAATAAAGCCGTAAGAAGAGAAACACTGGAGGATGTCAACGTGTAGTTGTGATATACAATACATCGGCCGTACCAATAGACAGTGGAACTCCAGAATAAGGGAACATGTACCTAAATGGTCGCAGCGTCTAATCACCCAGTCGTCGGTTGCTCATACTACCAGTTCAAGTAATCCATCTGCTTCATCCATAGGAAGGTATTTACTGGTTACCTGTCATCAGTTTGATCCGGCCAAAATGTTTACAATCGTGTTAAGGCATGCTAACGCCCATTTCCTACGTTTCGCAGAGGAAATCGCGATTAGCCGTATGAAACCCGCACTCTGTGTGCAGAAACAGTTGTTCGTTAGCCTATGGCTGCCCTGGGCGTAGAGGTGTCACGCCTGCGTCCTACCCTGTTCTAACTTGTGCCAGTCTCACTCTACATGTCGTCTTATATATTTTCATGTTATTGTGTTGGCACTGCAGAGACAATACGAAATGTTAACATCTGCCATTGTTCGTTTTCTTACGGTTTTATTCAAAATACTAAAGGGATCTAATTGCTTCAAACACAGTCACTACTCAGATGAACCTTATCAGATTGGATTCTATATCTATAAATGAGCAAGTAGTTAAAGTTTTCCCAATCAGCTTGCAGTCCCGGTGAACAAGAGTGATGGACCGAATTACCCATGATGCTTTTAGGGATCCTGAAGACTTCGTTACCACGGAGGCTCGGATGGCCCGCAACACCTAAATAGTCACCTAAAAAGAGAAACGACCGGGGCTAATGTTTTCACACCGTGTCAAAGCACCCAAGCGGATCGGTCTGATGGGTTTCCAACGACGAACATGACACAGCATCATAGCCGAAGTTCCCCGATTGTTGGGAGCTAGTTAGAGTGAAGGGCGGATGCTATATGTCACCGAGATTGGGTCACCGTACGGCTGGTTGTCAGGGCAGCAATACATGCATCATTCGTTGACATATCGGAAACCTGACCGAGTAGCACCCTGAGGGAGAAAACCAGCAAGCATGCCTCGGTAAATTTACGCGGGAGGGAATTTCCAAATACTGTACCTGAGTTTACATAACCCCTTAAAATCGATGAAAACCTAACCGTTACTGGACAGTGAATCCAAAGTAAGCACAGGAGGCGGATGTGGAGATTAAGCCGATTTCTCTGAGAATACACATAGCGGCTGCCTGTACCCCTACGAATGTGAGCTTTCGGTTATCTTATCTAAACGGCTCTGATGCTTTTAATGCAGAAGGCAAAGTATGTGACAAGTTTCTCAGAGCAGTTCCCAATTATTTTTGAGTCTGATTTATCAGCTACATCTTTCCCAAAGATTGTAGAGTTGTCAATAATAATAAATGTAGATAAACCCGATTTTCGATTGAAGTAATACGGCCATCTACGGAACCGTCTCCAAAGGACCTGCTTCCATGCAGGGTAGTCCTTCGAAAGATGCATTCCGCACTCCCATGCCCCATCTGGCGGATGTGACTTGCCACGAAATAGTCACTGTCACTTGTATCGCCCCACTAGAGCACTGTAATCCTTCAGCTTGGTGCTATTAGTGTGGAAAAATTGGGCCCCCGTTTGGTGTATGAACCGAGAGATCGATTAGCGGATGCAAGTGGGCGCTATTCCCTGAATTTGTCCCGCTGGTGACCCAAAGACTCGCGGTTGTGTCCTCTAAGTCAACTCCTTACTTCGGCTTGAGCAACCAGGTAGTATCACGTTCTCACAAAAGCTATGGATAACACTGTTACTTCGCTGCACTCATCCGCTCCTTACCAAACTCCACCACATGCCAAACATCATTCCGTTATTAATCTTTGTTACTCTAAATATAATACAGATGCTGGTTTCGTCATTACTCAGAACGTTTAGCCTGAGGCTATCCCTTGACCTTGATCATCGTTTCGGCTGGCAAATTTAACGTTCCGACACTTTTGCAAATCGGCCCGTTTGGTACACAATCTGAGTTCCCTGGTTATTGATATCTGCGGCATTCCTGAAACATGGTTGCATGAACCAAGCACTGAGCTCATATTGAGAGGATACAGGAGGCGAAAGTGGATATTGAGTCGGTTTCTCTGAAAGTACAAGTAGTGGATATCTGTACACCTTTGAACGCGGGCTTCGTGCGTTTTCGGTTATTTTCCCTAGACGCGCCTATGCTTACAGCATGTCAATGGCCACATTTGGTTCACGTCAAATTCGACGATTTCAGAGACAACCGAGACCGGATACTCTTGGAGGCAGATGTTCCTGGTTCCAATTGGCAAACTGAACGGCCACATAGCGGACGAAAATAATAAATTCGGGGCAAATACGTTGCTATGGCCCATTAGCAGTAATCAGCGTTGTGGTTCGGCGAATTACTCACAGAAAGATGATCCAGCTCTTGAAGGGTAGTACAAGATGATGTTTAACATTAGTGTCGAAAACAGTTCAAGTTGCCGATCGCTTTCTATAGAGGATAAAATAATCCTTTCTATCAGAAAGTGTGCTGGGTACTTCGAGATAGCTCTACCATAGGCAAATCGGTGTACAAGTGTTCCAAACAATTATTAGTCAGCTCGGAGTAAGCTGCAACATTTGATTGAGTGAGAACTGGACAGACCGCCATTAAGCGAAGTATTTAAACCAGCGGTGAAGGAGCCGATTGAAAAGGATTACGTCGTTCCATTAACATCGCCACGAACAGTACATCTGCTATTTGAACGTAGCATGCTTCGCTCCCGTACAGCCACGGCGTCCTATGGAAGGAGAGTAAGAGGGAGAGGATGGGGAACTAGCGTAAAACCTACTGAGAACTATGTCCTGAAACGTCTCGAGCCAAGCACAAGGCTGGCCACGTGGACTTCAGCTGGAAAGTGAGACGCTCAAAGAGCACCATGGTTTGTAGTCAGCGACTACAGTACTGGCTACCAATATAACTCTTGCATACCTCGACCCACTCCACATCTGGCAAACAAAAGGAAGCCCACCTAGGTAAGCGGTGACCGGCAGTTCGTGCCCAAAGCAACGCAACTTATTCAGTGCTATCTGTTGTTCTAAGGAAGTAGCCTGATAATTACTGTCTAGTACTGGCCTACGCACATCATCGTTAAGGAAACACTGGCACCATCCGACTCCAGCAATGTTTCGCAAGCCGCAAAGAAAAGAGAATAAAAGGCACCTTAGGTCCTCAGAAAGAAGAGGACAAATCGCACTTTCAGAAAATTGGACAGCTCTCACTATGGTCTGGTGGAAATGGCCTTTCGGACGGAGGGAAATCTCTTTCGCGCGCCAAAGATTCCAGAATATATATATATATATGGCGAGAGAGCCTATGGTTCGCTAAAGGTGGTGGTGGCTAGATCCTGACAGATGGTCTACCCACTGCTGCTACTGTTGTGTCATGGGCTCTTGTCCTGGACCCCTCCTCGTGGTGACCGCTGGGTGGGAGTTCAGTTACGCCCTTCTCCCTGCTAAGATCCAGGACACCAATCCGCATGAATCAGTAAACTGACCATGTGCTAGACTCGCTGCCTTTCGGGTGTACATTTAATAGAAGGTTTTGGCTAAGTACACGAGTCGTTCTCCTCTCAGGTGGGCGCCCAACCAGTGTCCTAGTTCATCCTCTTCCGAGGTTAGGAAGTGGTCGAAGGCCTTCTTCCCGAAAAACAAAGCCATGAAAGACAACAGATCTACGGGTTATAAGATCACAGCTCGATTGGCGTAGAGCACGAGCGCCACGCATTGTCTCTGACGCTAAGACGACACGTCCGGGTGTTCAATGGTTTGCTACTGCCCGCCTCAAGCCAGGCAGCCCCTGGTCAAATTGGTGAAAACCCGCAAAAACCCACCTGCGTCTGGCCGTGGTCGCAGGTGTATCCTACTACGGTCGCAAAAAATTTAGGAATCGTTCCATTACCTCAAAGGCTGTGTGTGACGGTCGTCAAGCAGATCCCAATTTGAAATCACATCGCCGTGACGGATCTGCTCCCCGCTGCCTTGTGAGTCAGGCTGCTGAGCCAAAGGCTCCGGGTGGAATCCCCACACAAACCTCCGAAGCACAACAGACACCCCGAGTGCGATTGCCCACCAAAACAATCGTATGCCTGCGCGTAAAGCACTCAGCATCGGGTGCTGGAACGTGCGCACACTGCTGGACCGGAACTCCAGCGAGTTCCCAGAGCGATGCACTGCACTGGTCGCGATGGAACTGGCGCGCTACAATATCGAAATTCCGGCGCTCAGTGAAACCCCGCACCCTGAGCAAGGTAAGTTGCATGAAGCAGCGATATCATCCGTATAGTCCAAGTCCTCGACCAGGTTACCTGGGAGAAGCTCAATACCGGAGGTTTGAGGGCCTTCCAATGCTCGTTGGACGACATCTTAAATGGCAAAATTGAAGAAAGGTGAAGTAGGACAACCTTAGTGCACGTCGCTCGCGACAGTAAAGGAAGTGCAAAGCGGGCAGTAAATTCTGACTTTGTCCGACGCGTGAGTGTAAAGGTTCTACAGTATGGTCGGACACACCTTTCCTTAGTAGATAGTTCCACAACGCAGATCTATCTACTTGATGTCCAAGAACATTACAATTGTTGACGCTCGGTGGTCGTGACGGAGTGTGAAGATTCGG